ATGTGAGGACATATTACATGTACTTGGTAATGTGTTAACAAGACTCATTTTTGTTGCAATAAAATGCATTTATTTTGTTTCAGGACAGTTTTGTACCAGAAAGCAAGGGACCACTATCTTTGTTGTAGAACAGTATTTCCTGGACTACACTGTATGTTGCTTTTATTGCTTTTACCAAGTTGAACCTGGTCCAGTATGCAGTAGTAACTAAAGGAACATGGGCATTTGTGTTTGGTTTATTTTCTATACTGTAGGTGACAATCACAGGATATTCATGCATTTCCTGCTGAGTCATTACTGTTGACCTTTACATTGGGACATTGGCTGGAGACCTTTGACTTTGAAACAATAATCATGTGAAGCCACCATTGTATGTGGAGATACATGTATGTTCAGTGGTCTTGGTTGTCCCGGTGTTGATTATCTTTCAGAGAAACATGTATTATATGCATGCTACTACAGGTATTAACATTTGTAACTCTTCTTGTTGCTAACATTTCTCTGTTCACTTGAACAACACACCAAAAATATACAACAACTAATGACTGTATAGTAGAAAGTAAGAATCACTGCACCAAAGTTGTAATGTAGAATGGTGCCAAGTAAGTCATGTACTTAAAACTGAAAAGTAATGTTCTCTTGGACCATTTAAACTCGACTGTTAGTTTATTATCGAAATGTTAGTCTTTAGAAGACTTAGTGTACATTGTCATGTAGAAAGACCGAAAATCCTCTGTATGTAATGATACAGGTGTTCAAATACATTGTAATATATGATTACAACAGAATTACATTTACCAAAATAAGACGATAATGACATTTAAAGGAAAACATACATGTAGTAACCAAACTACCTAATGTACTTGTTAAGGAAGTTTAAATGTTTTGTTTGTGATGATATTTCTCTGTACAAAAGAACTTGACAGCATAATGATAAATATGCACTTGTATGGTGCTGTATATTATGCTGGTGCAATAATACTAATTATCATATAGCCGGACGGCGTGGACCAATCAGAGGCCCGGATACCCGTGCTGTTATTTCCCGATAACAGCACATGTGGTGTTATGGCGGAATAACAGCACATGTCGTGTTATGGCTGATACCATTATGTTATAGGGTATAGGGGCATGCGACTCTTTCTGTAAACCTTTGTAGCATTTTTCTGTCCAATAAACTTTTTTGTTTAGCTTCATTTAAACTACAATTTGCATTAAATGAAATTATCCATATTTGTTTTAAAGCGTATAATATATTCGAATGTATTTTTATGTATGTATATATATTAAAGCTGTTGTATTTCAAACAGGAATTGTGTTGATTGACAGTTTGGATAGGCTATATGATAATAATTTTAATGCACTGCCTTTTCCTCGTTGTATATGGTGTCATAACTGCATGGGCAGCTGCCATAACCACCTCATAAACCACCTCGTTCGCTTCGCTCACACGGTGGTTTATTCGGTGGTTATGGCAGCTGCTCATGCAGTTATGACACCATATACAACTCGGGGCAGTGCATTAACCCTTTATTAAACATTAGGTCACAGGAAGTAGATGTTATGGTTGACCTTGTGCCCATCAGGCTAAAAAAGAAAAATTTTGTCCCTCTTTGTCAATGGTCAGCATGACAAGATAATACCAAAAATACATGTAGAAAAATATGTCATGATAGCCTTGAAGTGTAGTTGTAGAAAAATAAGTCGTAATTTTTGCCCATCTTATTTTATTTAGAATTGGAGGCTACAGAGAATGTTAGCTGTAAAAGTTACTTGCTGTGGCCTCATAAACAATTACTTGACTATTGTACATGTGCACTAACACAGGACCCAAAAGTAGAGAAATCTTTTCATTTCATTTTTCATTTATAATCACATAGTGATTTGAAATTGTTTCATATGGTAGTAATGTTAATGGTGATATGATTTACTTGAATTGTTTAAGATGTCGTGATTTGGTGTTATCTGATAATTATTGTCAGATTCTTTCAATGCTCAGGAATTGGTAAAATCTTTATAAAGAGCATAAAATGTTGCATGTTTATTGTTTTTGGGGTGTGGTTATTTTGAAAGATTATATTGCATGCTATGGAAAGGATGAGCAATAATGATTTAATGTTATTGTTTTTACTTAAAAGTCATATTCTGTGCATTAATATTTTGTCTATTAAAGTTCTCTGCCATTACCACTGTATTTTTGTACTTCTTACAATTACATGTATCTATCCATGTGCAATATTAGAATGCATGAAACGTGGAATATTGATATCCCATGCACAACCTTCTACCTTTTCTTTTTACCTTGCGCTCTTGATCACTGTTGATCTGTCTTAAGGGGCCGACCGAGGTTTTTAATGACTTTATTCAGTTTATCTTGTTTTTAATGCTTGTCTTGAATTACTAAAGATGATGTTTAACCAATGTTAGTTGGACTGGTGGACTCAAGACCATTAACAATTACCAGAACCAGTTGAGAGACTGTTCCACGGCCACGCTTGTGGACTCGAGTAAATCGTTGTTGTTAAGAGTGAGAGTGAAAGAAACATTGGCCAGGGTTCCTGACATAACGTTCCACCAAAGCCAATGAACACTGACCAAGAGTGGCGTGGGAAGGTACATGT